TGGTCACAGCATGAGCAGTTTAGGCTCGGGATCTGACTTGTAGCCGCCACCCTCACAAGAGAATGAGCCAGAACACCATTTTATTAATGTGCATGGAGAACTGTAATTAACGAGCAGGTCAGAATGCGCTCACTGGCTGTGCATTTTTTCCCTGTTGTTGTTGTTAGCTGTCCTTCAATTGGCCCCCGACTCATGGGAACCCTGTGCAGAAGGAAACAAAATGAGCCATCCCCATAACTGGTTGAGGCTCGGACTATGGTGATCCGTAGGATTTTCATTGGCTGATTTTCACAAGTAGATCTCCAGGCCTTTCCTCCTAGTCTGACTTAGTCTGGAAGCTCCACTGAAACGTGCTCTGCATCGTAGCAGCACACATGCCTCCACGGACAGACGGGTGGTGGCTGTGCATGAGGTGCACTGGTTGGGCATCAAACCCCAGTCTCCCACTTGGAAGGGGAGAATGGAAGTCTCAGTGGGAAGCACATTCTAAACAAGAGGTTTGGTGAGGCTGTGCTCAGAGCAAGGACAATGAGTTGGAAGACGTTGGCAGCTGTAGGCATCAGATGGTGACTGTCCTCTACTCCATTGGTGCCAAGGGGCTGAAATAGTCCCCTGGTGGGTCCCAGCCTGGTGGGTCCCAGCCTGGTCTTCTAAATGGTGGGAGAGACACTGACAAAATTCTTTCGGTCATGCAAGCCGTGTTCCTTCTGTTGGCCCTTTCTTTTCCTGGAGAGCTAAAACCATGGGTTAGTCTATAGGCTGGTAAGGTTTTATTGTTGCTGTTTAATTCAAGTTCAACTAGAGTCCTGGCATTTTTTCCTTTGACATAGGAGGAGATATTTTTAGTTCTAGTGTTTAAATGATGTATTTTCTCTTTTTGCAAAAAGTTAATCTTATTTATTATGTCTTGCTTTTGCTTTTTTAATTTTACAAGAGTAAGCTTATCTCCAAGTTTCTCTTCCGTTTGTACTGAACACAACCTGTATTCATCCTTTATAACTTAGCTTGAACATTTTTTTCCTCAGTTCACTCTTTCTTGATGTCCTCTTCTCCTCCCAGTCAGACTTAACTCCCCTTCTCTCTCCTCTTATTCCATCCTATGCTCACCCCTTCTGTAGCACTTAGCACTGGAATCATTTATTTCCTCGTCTCTCTCTTTTGCCAGACTGTAAGCTCTATTGGAACAGCAACTGCACTTTACTAAAGTTTGTGTCTTCAGCTGCTAGTTCAGTGTCTGATAGAACGTAGCGACCCAGTAAAGGTTTGGATGGAGTGATGAAGGGGGGGTGGGATAGATGGATGGATGGATGGATGGAGTGATATTTATGCTGAACCCTTAAACGATCAGTAGAATGTCTTTCAGTAAGAGAAGCCGCTGTAGTCTACGGTAAAGATCCAACAGATTTTTCCTCTGTCTTACTTGACCTCTCTTATGGCATCGACCGAGCTATAAGGGTGATTGTGGACACCAGATTGCCGCTAGGCGTAGCCCCTCAATGCTTCTGTCCTAACTCTGGGCTGTGGTTAGTGTTTGAAATTCATTTTTGTGAAAATGGCATTCCTCTTTGGTACTTTAATTTGAAAACGTTCCTAGTCTCTAACAGTCTTGTTTCGTTTATCTGTTGCTGAGTAACAAACTACCCTAAAGCCTAGTAACTTAAGACAATAAATTCTTATTTTTCACAATTCTGAAATCTGGCCAAGACTCAGCTGGGTAGTTCTGCTTTACTTGGTGTCTACAGAGGCTGGAATGTCCAAGACAGCTTCTTCACTCACGTTGTGGCGCCTCAGCCGGGACGGCTGGCCAGCCGTCTTTCTCTCTGTCTATGGCCTCTCCTAATGGCTAGCTTGGGCTTCCTCACAACATGGTGGTCTCAGCGTAGTGGAACTTCTTATATGAAGGCTGCCTTCCAAGGGGGAGCAGGCAGAAGCTGCCAGTTCTCTTAAAGGCCAGGTCTGAAGCTGGCACAACATCATTTCCACCTCATTTTACCGGTCAAAGCCAGCCCAGATTCTACCGGAGGAGAACTAGACTGAATCTTTTGGTATGAGGTTATTGTCGTTGTTGTTAGGTGCCGTCGAGTCGGTTCTGACTCATAGCAACCCTGTGTACAACAGAAGGAAACACTGCCCAGTCCTGCACCATCCTCACAATTGTTGTTATGCTTGAGCCCATTGTTGCAGCAACTGTGTCACTCCATCTCGTTGAGGGTTTTCCTCTTTTTCACTGACCCTCTACTTTACCAAGCATGGTGTCCTTCTCCAGGGACTGTCCCTCCTGATAACATGTCCAAAGTATGTGAGACGAAGTCTCATCATCCTCACTTCTAAGGAGCAGTCTGACTGTACTTCTTCCAAGACAGATTTGTTTGTTCTTCTGGCAGTCAATGGTATATTCAATATTCTTCGCCAACACCACAGCTCAAAGGCGTCAGTTCTTCTTCTATCTTCCGTATTCATTGTCCAGGTTTTGCATGCGTATGAGGAGTGTGAGGTGTGAGGAGCAGCATTCATATACAGGGAGGGGTTGCAACCATCTTTGGAGATTGTCTAAAAGAAATGATATTATGTAGCTTAGGAAATACACATGAAAAATTAGTATTTAAGCTAGATATGTACTAAAGAAGCACGTTTGGCTTAAGTAGCTGGTTGTAAAGAAATGCATTAAGTTTATTTGGATGAAGTCTCTTGGGGAAAAAGGGCACTGTCTGGTCAGAAGACTATGCTCTGTCCAAATTGGGGATTAGGAATTGATCCGTATTGATTAATAAGTAAACCTAAGTTCAGATGAGAAACTCTGATAAAATGCAGGTCTCTCTTTAATTATTAAAGTTGTTTTCTTTATAAAGTGAGAGCATAATAGCACTTTGACTCATAAGAATCAAAAAGATCTGTGTCCTGTTAGTTTTCTCACCTTAGAGGGGTGTTTGGAAACATGTCACGTTATTAAACCTTCTTGAGTTGGTAATTCCACTGTGAAAGCTTTGTGCTAAATTTTCTTTCTTCATAGTGTTGCTCTGGGAAATGGGCTGGAAATGACCCCCAGTATCCCTATTTCTTGACCTGAGCCATTTTATGAATGTTTTAAAAGTGCAATCATTTAGTTTCAAAAACCTCGTAAGACCCATATAAATCAAGATAAGGATCATATATAATGTATCCTTCTTTGAAGCGTACAGAATATCTTAAATAATTCTTCTTAGCTGGTATCATACCTGATTCATAACCATTTCTCTTTAGTTAGTGCGTTGCTTTGTAGCTCTTTTAATAGCTCGTGCCTCTGTTCAGTGCTCACGGTCACTTATCCCCGTGGCATTTCATGAGACCAGCATGTAATAACGGTTGCCACCTTTTGTCTGTGATGGAGTCCCTGGATGGCACAAATGGTTAACGTGCTCGACTGCTATCCTCTGTGCCTCAGAGGAAAGGCCTGGAGATTTACTTCTGAAAAATCAGCCATCAGAAACCTTATGGAGCACAGTTCTACTCTGACACACATGGGGGTCTCCATGGTTTGGAATCGACTTGACGGCAACTGATCTTTTGGTCTGTTTACGATCTTCACAAAGAAACCAAGAGCTGGAGTTTTAAAAACTCCCCTAGAGCTGAATGGATTAATAATTTATCAGTGAAAGACTTTGCTAGAGAATGGAGTTCCTTCCTTTAGAATGAGGGAGCCTTATTCTAAAAATAGAGTTTAAGATTACTTTGAAAGATGTACATAGTACAGTAAGTTAGCAATAAATATAGGTGAAGCAGACACAGCAGAGAGCAAACCAACAGGAAGTGAAATTGTATACCAACTCCGTGCCATGACGCCCTCCCATGCTTCCAGGACAGGGACCATGGAGTTGACTCAGAGCTCGCTCCAGTCAGAGGAAGAAGGGAAGCAGCCGTAACAGATGCTGTGAGATCCCAGCTCGGTTAATTAGCCACAAGAGCCAACAGGAGAGGCTCTGTTAGCAAAATGTTTTCATGTATGCAGTTTTTATGACTATCATGTTACTTGTATCCAAGGATTACAGTCCTCTGGAGAAAAAATCCAGAACCTACCCTTCTGAAGCCTGAGGCCCGGTTTCCTCATGTTGACACTGTTGTTAGTTGCTGTCAAGCTGACGCCGGCTCACGGTGACCCCACATACGCAGAGGAGAACTGCTCCCTAGGGTTTTCAAAGCTGTGGCCTTTCAGAAGCAGATCACCAGGCCTGTCTTCTGAGGCACCTCTGGGTGAGTTGGAGCTGCCAACCTTTCAGCTAGTAGTCGAGTACTTAACCCTTTGCACCACTCAAGGGGTAGATGGGCTGCTGCCTGAAGTCATGAGGCATTTTATCATTAAAAATCAGCATTTTAGCCACATGCAACAACAACAATTTAATGTCGATAGGAGGGGAGACAGCGTTCACAAATACACAATTCATTGATTCATTCAACGAATATTTCCTGGGGACCCTACGTGTCTGGTTACCATGCTCCTGGGCCCTAGGGATATGGCAGTGAGGAAGACTGGGTGTAAAAGGCAACTAAGGCAAGCACCTCACTACATGCAAATAACACACGCTGTATACATTTTTTGCCCACAGCACGACCTTCTCTCACATTATTTTCCTAGGCGCGCTATGCGCACTGTGTGTGTTTTGGCGTGTTATTGGTGAAAAATTCGATAAAAGGCAATATGTGGGAATAGATCAAGCACATGGGGGAAGTGGGGGACTTAGGGACTGTGAAAGGGGCCCCTAAGCCTGCCCTAAGGGAGCAGGAAAAATTCCCTGAAGGAATCACCGTGCCTTTGATTCAGAAGAACGTGGAACCCATGACCCAGCAAGGCTTTTGAACTTCGGGGTAGCACACAGAGCCTCTCGCGTGGGACCCAGGAGGAAGTGGCGCCGGCTGGTCTAAAGTGCGCTGACTATGTCAGCGCTGGGTCCTGCTGCAGAGGGCCTCAGCCACACTCAGGCTGGCTCCGTTTGATCTTGTTCTTCTCCTTGTGCCTTTGTTCACAGACTGCGATCCTCAGAAGGCAGGGCCGGTACATGTGCTCCACAGTTCCTGCAAATGCGGAGCAGGAAGCGCAGAGCTTATTTGTCACTGAGGTAATTTTTTTTATACGTTAATTTACACATCATTTTAAGGTCATTTTTCTGTAACCCCCTTTTCTTTAAATTTTAATGATTATTTTCAAGAAAGTGTCAAAGAGGTAATTACTTTTTTATGATGGAAATTTAAATAACGAATAACATGAGTTTCTCAGAGTTTGAAATTGGGACAGAAATGTCAACAGGGATCATTTCTGACTCCAAAACGTGAATTCTACCAAATTTATCTCATTGGTTTAAAATAAGGAATACCTTGTAAATGAACTCACCTGTAATCTCTGTAGGAAGCTTTAACTATTATTGTTACTGATACTATTTTTAATAGGAACCCAGCACACATATTTACATATTCATTTACTTTGTTTACATGTCTATATTTATAAAGTATTTTCAAGACTAATGTTTATGAAGTGCCAGGTGATAATAGTCTGACTATCCCTGCTCAGTATATAATTATTCTTACTCTTGCTTGAACATACAAATAATAATTATCTTGTTAAGAGAGAAAGAGAAATTATTGCATTTAGATTACTTGTTCTTTTTTCTTGATGTGTTTGTTTTTTCCTCCAAGTGTTTTTAGGTAGAATGAACCAATTAAGAGCTTTAATTTTGTTTATTCAAGTGCTCCCACATGTAAAAAGAATGGATTTTTATCCCCGTTTTTCTAGTTAATATTTAGATGATAAATATGCCCATCAATAATTTGCCCACTGCAAGGAAGCTATGCTTTTAGAAATGAAGACCAATTAAAACAACAAGATGTAGTTTCTGTTGAGATATCAGAAAAAGTTTAGTATGTACTTAACGTTTTTAGAGTATGTTTTTCTCATCCTTCTTAAAAAGTAATTCCCTGTTTCACCTTCTGTGCCACTATGTTAGTAAAACTGATTCCAGTCACATAAGGCCAGGAAAGTTTATGCAGTCAGAAATGTTTATTTTAAAGCTGGAGGTGGGCAACTTTTGTCCTCTGGGCAAAGTCTGGCCTGCAGCCTGATTTTGTAAATCAAGTTTTATTGTAGTACCCCAAGTCCGTTCACTTACATGTTGTCTAAGGCTTCTTTCCGAGAGACCATGTCACCTGCAAACCTGAAAATATTTACTATCCAGCCTTTTACAGAAAAAGTTTGTTGACCCCTGTTCTAAAGCATGTAGCAAAATTATTTATTACTAACTCAATTCTCCCAATTGATTGAAAAATACAATTTGTGAAGAATAATGCTCTATTTAAGTTCTTTCATCATTGTAGGTTGAGCAATAACTGATTCATCCCCTGCTGCTGGAGCCAACATAACTAAACCCTCTGAGGACTCCTCCACTTGGGTGGAGTGAGACAGTATTTCCTCTCCATCCTCTGCTCCAGAGGAGAATGACCTAATGGCTTTAAAAAAAAACAACAACTTCAAAAACCTTTCCGTGTAACTTCAAAATATTATTGACTTTCACAGGTTTGAAAGGTTACTTGTGAAACCAGTCAGTGAGACCCCTCTCTCTTTGGAGACACAGTTCTCTGGATACTGATTTTTGAATGAACCCCTGATCTCCCAGACTTCCTATATCCTGAGAAGACAGGGGCTTGTCTTACTCTGTACGTCTGTGGTTGCCTACCCCTAGTCAACAATGGCTTGTTAAATGAATAAATCTCTGGGTACTTAACCTGGTTAACCATGTGTTTTTGTGGTTTCTTATCATTTTAAACGTTTAGGCGTTATAGCTGTCTTTCTTACCTGTTTTGCCTGTGATACTAAAAATCTGGGCACTCATTTGTTCCGTTCATAAATGTATTCATGATATACAAGTTTCTGCTTATTTATTTTTTAATTGGGCAGGTACATTTTAGCATTAAGAATGGTTTCAGTATCCTGCAGGAGACTTTGGGAGTATGAGTTATCACACCACAGAAATTAGTTGTAGTGCTTGATACAAAACCACCATGGGCTCTGCTTTAGCCTCTGGAACAAGAAGACAAGTATGTTCCCAAGGCCGTGTCGTTTGTAGTCAGACCTCACTTAGCTGCGTTAATGGGCCGAGAGGCAGTTGTGGATAATTCTGAAATCATATTGGTTTTGGAACATAATTTTAAGTGCAGGTGTCTGGTATTCTTACATGTAAAATGCCTTGAAAAATTCAAATAGCATTTACAAAAAGAAAATACTGTTTTAAGTATCTGTAACTGCATAGCAAAGAAATTGAGAAGCCCAGTTCCCACTTCTGAGCCTGCTCTTAACCCTTCTCTGCTATGTATTCCACCTCTCAGAATGATAATATAAAAAGCTCACACTACCTTCCCTTTGCAGCCTTGCTTAGCTTGACTGTTGTTGCTGTTATGTTCATGAATTTGCATGTGGAGGAGAGTTTACTTCAGAAGGCCTTTAGGGCCAGGCTATGAAATAGATAAAAAGGTTGGCAATATAAACAACGAAGTGAAGTGAGCAGAGAATTTGTTCATAATGTTAATTACAGCCAAAGTCAAATGAACTAGATAAGGCATAAGTACATTTACCTACCTCAGTATTAATTCATCCATTCCTTTTTTTTTTTGGCCACATTAAAGTCTGCATATGTGTAAATAGTCAAGAACTGACTGTACAGAAAATCATTTAAACTAAGCTAATATTAACTAAATCAAACTTACCTATTGATTTTGACTCATTTGTATTTGAAGATCTGGTGAATGCAGCCTTCCTTATAATCTTGATTGTCCACACTACCTGAAGGATCCTCGTGGGTAGATGAGTGAAAGACACTGTGGTGGCCCATTGAAGCCATCAGGTATTGAGGTGGTTTACATGCAGTCTGTGTAGGTTAATGTCATCAATAGAATCCTTGGCAATCCTTAGCGTGCACTCTACATTATACAGTATTTGTAATTTCATATATATGCGTATATATGTGAAAGAGCCATAGTGTCACTATGAAATAGAATCGAAATCTTTCCTCCTGATAATCTCACTCTGTGTCTTAAGAATAAAAGGATAAACTGAGGGCAAAATAGCCCTTTTTAGAAAGGGAAAACTGAGTGAAAGTTCAATTTTATACAATAGTATTGACTAACAGAGCTAGTTGTAATACACCTACTCTTTACTTATTGACTCTCTCATTAACTGACATTTCGCGTTTACGACAATAGTAAAAATCTATTATCTAACTGTTTTGCACATTAACGATGTATGTTTGGCAGTAATGAATGCTGAGGTGCGAGGCGAGAGTGACGCTGGCTGCGTTGGTTAAGGTTATGTGTCAGCTTGCCTGATTCTCAGTGGTTTGGCAGTTATGTAGTGATGCAGTTTGGCAGTTATGTAATGATGTAGTCATCCTCCATTTTGTGATCTGATGTGGTCATCTTCCACTTTCCCATAATGCTGATTTTCGCATAATGACCTGGTATTTGGAACCTAACCATGTCGGTAAGTGAGGAGTGGGTGTATTAATAAATACGTAAATACCATGAAAGTGTCTTTCACTCCAAATTTTCCATTCACTGTCATGTTCTAGTGAGGCTATGTGATTTCTTAAGAACCAAGTGCTTTTAAGTCAGAAACAGTACATTCTTATGTAAATGCAAGCAAGGTTAGGTGAAGTTTGTCTTGCTGTAAAATCTGCCCTCTGATCATTTATGATGATAAAGTGATGTCTCTCCCAAGGGTAATGTTTCAGTGGATCAAAGTCTTAAGCTTCACAGGAGTCTCTGATGGCGAAATGTCACGGTTGATGGGGAAGAACTTTTTTGACATTTGTATGGGTGTGCTTCCACAAACCTTCTCAAATGTTATCCAGATGCCATCACGTAGGCAGTTACATATTCTCAGTATTGCATTTCTTTTTTTTTTTCCACTTATACTTTCTGTTTTTTCTTTTTTTTAAATCTCCCACCACCCTAATAGTGCATCAAAACCTATAACTCTGACTGGCACCTTGTGAATTATAAATATGAAGATTACTCAGGAGAGTTTCGGCAGCTGCCAAAGTGAGTAAATGTCAGACCACACGACATGGGCATATTCACAGAGAGAAAATTCTTTGTACTAAGATGCTTAGGAAAGTATGTGACTTCATATATAACCAGTGTAGTTGGAGAAAATATTTCTAGATGATTTTGTGTATTTAGTATAGTTACTGTTTATAGGGCTGTTGATTATGGGAATCAAACCCTGTACTCGGGTATTAGTAGGTGGTGATAAACACATGGATCATTTAATTATACCGACTGATAAAATATAAATACATGAACTTTGTTCAGTGAGAAATAGGAAGCAAAGGAAATGGAAGCGTATATGAAATATGCTATAGTATGTTTTATCTTTAAAAGAATATGTTGAAGAGACTCTTAAAGAACATTTTATGTTGAGTAAATTTTTATATTAAGAAAAAAGTAAATTGAGGAACAAGCATTTTCCCAGACAAATTTCTTTGCCCCCCCCCCTTTAAAGTATAAAGTCACTCCAGAATATACCAAAAGCCAAGTATGTTTAGATTGATTAGTGGTAGTTAAAGTGAACCTGGGGTAGGTCTCGCCTTGAGAGGCTATCGGTTATAAAACTGTACATCCTTAAATGACGAAGTTGGCAAATTTGAGTATAATTGATGATGAAAATTGAAAGCATATAATGATGGGTTGTGTTAAAAAAGTAGGCATTGCTAATGAAAATTTTACTTGAGAACCAGTTACTGTATTTCCCTTTGTTTTTGTTGCATGTGTGACTTTGGGAAAGCCTTTTATCCTGTCCTTAGTGGGTCTAGCTATTTGTTTTCTTTGTGTGGTTCAGCCACTCCTTAAGAGTGTTCAGCCAACTTCCCAAGCGTCTTCTTTTTAAACCTCAGCAGAGAAAACTCCCTCCTAGCATCATTTTTTCCGGATGAGTTTGCTCTTCAGTTCTATGTTTACTCAATACTCATTTGGGGATTTTCAAATTTTAAAATTTGATGGAATTAACCCATCTTTGTTGATCATCTTGTTTGTACTATTCCCATAACTGGAAGGTAACCTAGATTGTAAGATACAGTGTGCTCTAAGGTATACTTTAACTGCTGATAGATTTTACCCTTTGACATTAGTGCGAGCTTCCAACTGTGTGATGAGGAAGGGAGGGACGGAGGATTTTAACAATGGTTAACACACAGATTCTGTGTAACCTCTGTTCTCTTTGATCTCTGTATACCTGTTTCTTCATCTATTAAATGATGTTAATATTAGTCCCTACCAACGAAAGGATTAAGTAGGATAACACACATAAAAGTACACATAACAGTGCCTTACACATAATTTACAAAAAGAAAACAAAACAAAACTGTTGCTGTCAAGTCAATTCTAACTCATAGCAACCCTATAGGACAGAGTAGAACTGCCTCACAGGATTTCCAAGGAGCAGCTGGTGGATTCAAAACTGGCAGCTGAGCTCTTAACCACTGCGCCACCAGGGCTCCTCATCCATAACAACTGTTTAATAAATGCTGGCTTCTGTTATTATTGTGGTTGTATTGTTGTCGTTCATGCCTTCATATTAACGACTGTGGTTCTCAATCACTGTAAATGCAGTGACCCCATTTCCCGTTTTTATCTCATAAACCTCATATTAAAAGTTATTCTACCAAGTCTTTATTTTAATGATAACTAGTCCACTTTCCCATATTTAAAAACTCCAACAAGCTCTGCTGTCTTTTCCGCATAGCTTTTTGGAGTTCTCCAGCTCAAGTTGCTTGGACTATTCACTTTGGAAAGCAGTGGTGTAGAGTGTTTTTATTCTTCGTCGGAGTGGGCCAGCTTTGGATTTATTAATTACTGATTCCTCTGATGAATGAAGAAATACGAAGAGTCTTCATTGTGTAGGTAATTTTAAAACATGGTTTCTTTCTTCTTTTTCAAGCAAAGTGGCAAAGTTGGATAAACTTCCAGTTCATGTCTATGAAGTTGATGAGGAGGTTGACAAAGATGAGGTGGGACGATTGTTTACTATTGTTTTTGTTTTCCTTTTGGATTTTAAAAAATAATGTATTTTACAGACTTAGAAAATGAATGAGAAAGTTATCAACCTTTAGCTGAAACAGGAATTGGAACGTTTCTTGAAACGGGAAGAATTTTAAAAAATGTATTGTTTGATTGATGGAAATAAGGTCTCTGTTTCAACTTGACCACCTAGCATTTCACATTCTTTGGGTCTTGTTTATTTCTTCTGAGAACATTTTCAAAGACTTGGATCAGATTTGGCTACACTGTTAAATATATCAAGATTACTTAGACCTTAAGTTTAGGTTGGTTTTCAACAGGATATCTTGAAACAAACAAGCAGCCAGTAGATTTTTGATGGTGTTCCTTCAGTGATTGCTTTGAGTGAAGTCTGCAGTACCCAGAAGGTCTGATTTTAACAAGCCCACGCCCCCTAACCCAAACCCATTGCCATGGAGTGGATTCTGTCTGATAGAGTAAACTGTCCCATAGGGTTTCCAAAGTATAGTCTTCATGGAAGCAGGCTGCCACATCTTTCTTCCATGGAGCAGCTGGTGGGTTCGAACTGCTGACCTTTCAGTTAGCAGCTGGACCCTTAACCACTGTGCCATCAGGGCTCCTGCTGTTGGTGAAATGATTATGGCTAGAGAAGTGTGTGTATAGGGTGTTAAGGTGAGTATGTCCACTGAGAAAGGGACGCCTAATGAAAAGTTAATGGCACCCATCGATTGCATTTCTCGTTCTCACCTTCTCAGTATTGGGTGCCCCATTCTGAGTTCGGTTCTCCCCTCCTTTTTTTTAAATTGTCAACAGGGCCATAACACCAGATTCTCTTAAACTTTAACAGTGTCCATGGTAGCAAATTATTTTAAATAAAATAATTCTGGGCAGACTAAGTGGTCATTCAAAATGAATGATAGGGTATTAAGAACTTGGTGATGGTTAATAGTAACAGGAAGACCAATGGAAATAATACATACAAAGGTACACAATAAACTGTAAAATCCTAAATGGGTGTGTTTTTTCTATTAGTGCCAATAATGATAGTAACAACAAGAAAACTACCACTATTAATATTGAGAATTTCCAAAACAAAGCCTGAGATGGGTCTTTCTGAAATTGTCTGATTACAGAAATAAAGACTATAATCAGAGGCAGTCTTAGGAGGTATGAGCTGAGTTGCCTAACACCACGTAGCCCTCTCTTCCCGTGGTACCTATTGAAGGGTACGCCAGGTGCGACCTTTGCCACACCTGGACAGAAAAGTCACAGGGAGTAATTGTAGTGTGTGTGTGGAAGGGGTTGAGGTTAGGGTGTGGGGGATATGATGGACTGTTTGTTGTACGTACATGTATTTCACCTGCCTGTCTATTTTCTGTACAAATGTATCCCTAACCTATTTGTAGCAGCGGCTGGCAGTTCTGTGCTCACCTCCTGAGACCTAGCTCTCATACCTTGAGGTCAAAACTTGAAGAAACACGTTTCTTTACTTCTCCAGATGCTTCACCTTCACTTTCCTACTCGTTCCTCTATTCCTGTTTGTGTTCTTGCCTATCTCCCCCCGTTTTCCCCCATCATTTTATCTCTCCTTTCTGTATTTCCTCACATTTCCTTCTTTTCTTTATTCACCTTTCCCTGAACTAAGCTCTGGGAAACTTTCCAGGAATTTGCTTTTGTCCTCCAACTCTAGGGGAGTGTAATTTGAAAACATTTTTCCTGAAACCAGTCAAGACCTTACAACTTGAGTGGTCTAGTATGGTATGTACTTTCTGTGGCTCATTAATCACTTAATGAACTGTAGCTAACTTTGCCCTTTGCTGGAGGACAGTTTTCAGAAATTAGACTGGTCCTTCTCTTTTCTTGCTAAAAAATAAAAAGCAAATGTTGCCATAAAGTCGATTCTGACTCCTAGCAACCCTATAGGACAGAGTAGAGCTGCCCCATAGGGTCTCCAAAGAGCAGCTGATGGATTCGAACTGCCAGCCTTTTGGTTAGCAGCCAAGCACTTAACCACTGCGCCATCAGGGCTCCAGGAAGAAAATACTGTCTACCAGTAGCTAAGTGGAGCCCTGGTGGCACAGTGGTTAAGAGCTTGGCTGCTAACCAAAATGTTGGCGGTTCAAATCCACCAGCCTTTCCTTGGAAACCTTATGGGGCAGTTCTACTCTGTCCTATAGGGTCGCTATATATGGTCCCTATGAGTCAGAACCAACTCAGCAGCACCTAACAATGACAACAACAAGGAGCTAAGGTGACTTTAAAGTGACTTGTAGGCATTAGCTACAGGTGATTACTCCAGTAAAAGGACAAAGGGCAACTTGGCACAAATTGAATTGTCTCATTGTCCAAATTCACAGCAAATAACATAAGATAATAAAGGGAGATTTATGGTGGTGGTGGTGTCCTTCTCTCCTAGGATGCTGCCTCCCTCGGTTCTCAGAAAGGTGGGATCACCAAGCACGGGTGGCTATACAAAGGCAACATGAACAGCGCCATAAGTGTGACCATGAGGGTAAGGAGGTCCGCCACTCTGTACCCCGTTATTAAATCCTCTTTGCTGCAGGCCTGAGACAAACGCTCAAGGTGAATGGGCATGCTGCCCTTCCTGACAGAAAGGACGTTGCCTGGTTAGCAGGGTGCCTCCTGGTGATAGCACCACGGCTGGTACGGACCCTTCCTCCTCTTGTCCTCATGGCCGTCTGACCACTGACAAGAAGAGACCGTCGTTTGGCAGATGTGAACGTGCCGTCGCTGACTCTGGCTTTGTTCTTCATATTAACTACAGCAGTGGTGCTTGCCACCTCACAGAATCACTGAGAGACTATTTTTCAAACTAAACCTAAGCACTTCTGTGGAGGTATTCTGCAACAAAGCCAAGTAAAGCAAAATCTGAGAATGGAGGGAAATTGGTTCAATTCAAAGAGAATTGCAAAAGAGAGAAGTTTTTGAAAAAGTAAAAGTAGTGGAAAAGCTGCTCAGGAGAGATGTAGGACCAGAGGAAGGTCAGCATTAATAGAGAGAAGAGAAACCACAGAAGGGGAGGGAGGATGAATAGGGAGACAAAAATTAAATCCGTGGAAATGCTGACTGGCACGGTCCTGAGGCTGGAAAAGCGTTCTGCGTCGTGAGGCAGAAAATAGCTTCTCTTCTGCATGAGCATGAAACCCTGGGGATTTCAGAAAGTTTCTGTCCTTCTGTGCTGCATCCCAAATTGGATGGTTATGCAAACTCCTATAGCGTGGGTTATAAAAATGACCCATGGATGTGAGCGAGCCACCTTCTCAGAACTGAAAGGCATTAAAACTATTAGATGTGATGGAGAGCCAACACATCCAGTTACCTGGAGAGTTGGCTAGAGTTAAATTTGTTTTGGAGGGAGTGGGAATTGTTTTTATACACGTGCGTAGTTGTAAGTCAGTTAAATTGTGCCTCTTTTAATTTTGAAAGAGTAACTGTGTGTGTATTTTTCTCCCAGTCATTTAAGAGACGGTTTTTCCACCTAATTCAGCTTGGTGATGGATCCTATAATTTGAATTTTTATAAAGATGAAAAGATCTCCAAGGAACCAAAAGGATCAATATTTCTGGATTCCTGCATGGGTGTGGTTCAGGTAAATATGAAAATAGCTATACTGTCAAGTTTTCTTGTCTGTCAAAGTACCATGTATGAATTAGCAGATTTAAGCAAATGCTTCACAAAATGGGAATGTTGGTGGGAGAGATACAGTATCTAACTTTAAGATGAGTAAAGGCTTGCTTTTCATCACCTGGGAAGATGGCAGGTATGACACAGAGACGGAACCATGTTGTGGTAAACATGGCGTGCCCTGGTGCCGGAATTCTTGTGTATAAACCCAGCTCTGCCACTTTGTAGCTGTGTGATCTTGGATGGACCGCTTAGGTTTCTTCATCTGCAAAATCAGGATAATCACAATATTTACTTAATATGCTACTTGAGAGGATGAGGTAATGCATGAAAAGATGTAGAACAGCACTTAGCGTCTAATAAGCACTCAGCTAGTGATGACTTTCATCACTGCTGTTGTAGCACTGGTGGCAGTGTAGTGTATTCGTTAAGAGTTTCAGAGCCAGACTGCCTGAGTTCAAATCCCTCCTCTGCCACTTAGCGCCTTGGAGATAAATAATAACCTCTCTGTGCTTCAGTTTCTTCACCTGTTGAATAAAGATAGTGACAGGGCCGAATACAGTTATTGAGAGGATTAAATTAGTTAATGCAAGTGCGTAGAACAGCACTGCACGCAGACACGTTCAGTCAGTATTAGATATTTTTATCATAGTGTTGTTGTAGTTATTCTTAAACTTTGCTTTTATTATAGACATAATATATGGATGTATTCTTTTTATAAAAAATCAGACAAAGTGAGAATCCCTCTTGACTCCCCTCTTGCCCCCATCTCTTGCTTTCCCGGAGAGCAGCTGTTCCCGGTTGACGTATGTGTCCTTCCATACCTTTAGAATTGTCTTTGAAAGCGTGGTGCCAGTTTCCTCATTAATTCATTCACCTACCCATTTGATGCCCTTCATTTTCTAGGGAGATTTAAGGCAGTAGCTTACAAGGACACATAAAACATAACATGTTGTCTTGTTAGTTGCCATTGAGTCGATTCTGACTCATGACAACCTCATGTGTGCAAAATAGAACTGTTCCATAGGGTTTTCAAGGTGATGACCTTCTGGAAGCACATCTCTAGGCCTTTGTTCTGAGGTGCCTGTGGGAGGGTTTGAACTGCCAACCTGTTGGCTAGTAGTCAAGCCAGCGCTTAACTGTTTGTGCCACCGAGGGACTCTGAAAAAACAGGTTATATCCTTAAGTATAGCATGTATATAGCATGGCGTATCCTCACACTGTAAGAATAGCATAAATGTAAAGTGGGAGTGAAAGAAGACGAACAAGGGCTGGGAGGTAGGGGAGATCAAGTAGAATTGAACCAAAAAAAAAAAAAAACCCACGTGCTTTAAAGACCTAACACGAGCTGGGGTGGGCCACAAACTGGACTCTAAGCTCCCTTGGCTTGGAGACCTGTTCAGTCTTGTGGTTCACAGTGCACATAAATTAGAAAGGCTCTAATTAGTCAGAAACAGCCCAAGTAAGTTGGAATGAAGATCATTCAGGCATTTATCTCAGGGACCCTCATAAAGAGGGCACTGTGTGATTAATGAACAATCTCCTTGACAACTCCCCCACAATAGATACAGTCACCATTATCTGCAAATCCTCGCTTAAAACGACTCAGTGTTGGCTGATGACCTTGGCCTGAAGCTCGGTTCTCTAAAAAAGGTTGTTTAGTGGGGGCACCATGTTTAAAGTCAGGAAATACAGCTCTCTGGCCTGACCTCCAGGTTTATTTGTTTTATGTATTTGCATGTTTACCTAAAATTTAATTGTATTTTCATCAGTCATTCATTCATCTAGTTGAAACCGTCAAACAGTGCCTGTATCATCCGCAGCTCAGCCACTCCCCACCCTCCTAAGGCAACCATTTTCAACCCTTTTCTCTATTTCTCCTGGTATTTGCTTACATACTGCTAGATAACGAGCATTCAGTGCTATTGCTTTGTTCCTTAATTCTGGACGTTATTTAACGACTTCTGCAATGGCCGATGAGGATTTTAGCCTGTGTCTCCTTTCTTCCTGCTGTAACTTGAAGTAATTGCTTTCTACACCTCTGCACAGCCATCATCCTGGAAATTCCCACTGCTTTCCTCCTTCTGTTGGAGTCCTTGTTTCCAGGATCCATTGTCTTCCTCTTCTTTGGTTTACTTTCTTGTTTTGGAGGAGCACATCCCCCAGTAGTTTCCTGAAAAATTGTACGGAAGGTATTGATTTTTTGAAACTTTATTTTTGCATTCATGATTGATTGATAGACTGGCTGGATGTAGAAGTATAAGGTGAAACCATCTTACCCTAGAATTTTGAAGACGTTCCATCTTCTAAATGCTAGTATTGTTTTGAGGAGTCTGATGCCATTCTTATTCCTTGGTCTTTATGATTTTTTTCTCTCTGGAAACTATTAGAATCTTCTCTGTATCTCTAGTGTTCTGAAATTTAGGTTCATGTGTCCTGATTTTGATTTTTTTGATAATTTTTTTTTGTTAAGGTATAACATGCAAATAGAAAATGTACAAATAGTGCGTAGTGCAGTGAATTTTTACTAAATTTGGATCTCTTTTATCTTTTGTACTGGGAACTCTGGGGGAGTTCTCATTCTGGAGACTGGGAAATTTTCTTGTTTTTTTTTTTTTAATTTTCACCCCTCCATTTCTCCATGCTTGTTTCGTGGAACTTCTGTTGTTAGATGTTTGATTTCTTAGACTTTTCTCTAGTGTTCTTTAAAATTCCATCTCTTTTTCTTTTTGTCCTATTTCTTGGGAGTTTCTTCAATATCTTCTTATCCTTCTGTTGAATTTTTAAAATCTACTATTATGTATAATTTCTAAGAGCTCTTTCTTGAAAAGTAACATATAGTCGGGGGAAGAGTAATTTTTTTTTTTTTTTTTAAACTTCCGGCCATTTCTTCTGGGTGCCTTTTTTCCCTCTTGGTTTGTTGAGGCACCTCTCTTTTGGGGTGGAGGCTTTCCCAAAAGTTTAGGGATCCTTGGCCGTTAGTTTATATTTAAGAGTGAGGTCCTAGAAAGCTGACAGGAAGCCTGGTGTGTATAGACAGGTGTTGTGGACTGGTGGGCCTCGCTGTATGAAGCAGTCAAATGGCCAGCCGGTTGTTTTTTCAGATTATTGCTCCTACCAGTACTTGTAGGTCTCTTCAGTAGGGATATTCAGAGAAGGATCCTCTGAGCTGTGTTTGACAGCAGGCCTTCTGAAGCTGAGCTGGGTGTCTCCCCAGTCAGTAAAATCAGTTGCTGTTGAGTTGATTGACTCCTGGTGACCCCATGTGTGTCACAGTGCTCATTTTTTGGAAATTGATTGCTAAGCCTTTCTTCTAAGGCACCTCTGGGTGGACTTGAACCTCCAACCTCTTGGTTAGCAGCTGAGAATGTTAACTGTTTGCACCACTTAGGGGATCCCAGCATTCAATATGCAGACTTAATTCCTGTTTTCCATTTTTCCTCATCTCTGCCTTTCTCTGTGCCTGTTAGTCCTGCATCTGGAGGCTCTTTAGCTCAGTTTCTCCAGAAAGTCAGAGTCCGGTGCCATACAGGTTTTTATAGAGACTTTCAACCAAACATTACGGTTTTCAGGGTCTCTCTTCCCCTCTGCAGCCCCCACCTTCTGTGCTACCTGGTGCCCCCAATTCCTGGGCTCTTCAGCATTAATTGGCTTAATTCTTGGTATCCTTCTCTGTGTGCACTTAGGTGTGACTTGAAATGATATTTAAAATATTTAACACCTGTTGCATGGCCCTGACCAGTCAAAATGCACATGAGCTGTAAATGGCTTGCATATCATCCAGATGGAAACGCAGCTGAGAGCCCTCAGCCCTGCCACATAGTTAACTCTTCCACCATCTTCTTGCTACTTTTATTTTTTGTGGCTCAGTGCTGTATATGCACCGTAGTTTCTTCTGACGTGTAGCTTATGCTTTTTTCTGATATTCTTGTCATTTTGGGGTGATATTTGTAAGGAAAAATGGCAGAACCTTCATTGCTCCACCATTTTATACCAGAAGTCTGCAGGTACATTTTCAAATATCTGGAAGCATGAATGGACTGCGTATCCTTTAGCTGTTTTACCTTTACTCTTGTTTATTACCTGGGTTTTGGTTAATTTTCGGCAGCCATGGGTTCCGGAATTTGCTTCTTGCCAAGAATTTTCTTTTTGTTAGTGATGGAAACCAGAGCATGTAAATGCTTAAGATAAATAGAAGAATTAAGGAGCCTAATGTGGACTTGGAGCCCTGGTGGTTCAGTGGTTAAGATGTGTGCTGCTGACCAAAAGGTGGACAGTTCAAATGCACCAGCCGCTCCTTGGAAACCCCGTGGCGCAGTTGTATTCTGTCCTAGAGGGTTGCTATGAGTTGGAATCGACTCAACAGCAACGGGTTTGGTAGTTGTTGGTAATGTGGACTCGGGCTACTGTGCATATTCATGACCAACTCATTCGAAAGAATCAGTAGGCAGATATAGAACCAAACATCTCACTTGCTTGTCTAGAAGTCTTAAGTAGGAGGTGTGTAAGCTGTTTATCTCCTTAGGAAGTAGCCTATCATCTTCCTGCACGAGTACAGCTGAGTGAACTGTCTGCCCATCTGTTGGTGGCTCTTTTTATGGGACTTTTTAGCACCATCTGTCAAAGGTCCAAATTCACTCCGTGCTTCATCTTGGAAAATTTCTATTGCTGTGTCATTAAATTCACTAGTCTTTTCTTCTGCAACATCTAATGTGCTGTTGATCCCATCCAGTGAAATTTTCATTTCAGATACTGTATTTTTCAACTAGGAGTTCCATTTGTTTTTGTTTTTTTAATATATCTCCCATTTCTCTCCACATTACGTTTATGTTTTTCTTTAAATACTTGAGCATATTTATAAAATTTTTAGTAAAGGTTTTGATGAATCGACTCAGTGGCTATGGGTATGGGTATAATACCCTTGTCTGCTAATTCTGTCCTATGTCTTTTAGGAATCTATTTCTGTTGACTGGGTTTTCTTCTAATTATGGATCACATATTCCTGCTTCTTACTTGTCTGATAATTTTTTATTGGATGCCAGATACCGTCCATTTCATGTTATGGGGCACTGGATTTTGTTGTATTCTTTTAAAGAGCATTGGACTTTGTTTTGGCAGGCAGTTAAGTTACTTTAGGCTAGTTTGCCCCCTTTGAGGCTTGTTTCTAAGCTATTTTGGGGTGAATTGAGTAGCCTTTACTTGAGGGTAAGGTTAGTCCTACTGTAGATGGATGACCTTCTGGGACCTCTGTTGAATGCCCACGTCATGCACTTTATGAGGTCTCTCCACTCTGGCCAATGGGAACTCAAGTAATTGAAAGCCGTATCTGAAATCAGATACATGTTCTGCTTATAACTGAACAGGCAGAACATTCATTCATTCCTTGGCAGTTGTTCTTTCTCCAGCCTCATGGAGCTTCACTCTCCATGCTCGTGGCTTAGTGTTATGAAGACACTCAAAGGGTCCTCTGTGCATGTATGTGGAGCTCTTTCTTTGTGGAGCTCTCTCCTCTTGAGTTCTCTGTCCTGCACGTTGTAGTCACCTTGGTCTTCCTAAATTCTGGTAGGTCTCTTCAACTCAGCAAAACCCAGGACTCTGTTTAGGTTCCCCATTCCTGTGCCACAATCCAGAAATTGCCTCCAGACAGAAAGCCAAGGTGATAGTAGGCCTCGCCTCCTTTACTTCCCTTCTGTGGGGTGACCTGGTGACACAGTGGTTAAGAGCTCAGCTGCTAACCAAAGGGTCAGCAGTTCAAATCCACCAGCTGCTCTTTGGAAACCCTATGGGGGCAGTTCTAGTCTGTCCTATAGGGTCGTTATGAACTGGACTCAACTGCAACGAGTTTGGTTTTGTGTTTTAACCAGGGATGACAGGCCTGCACTGCCTGTTGTCCAGTATCAGAAAACAGCTGTTTCATCTATTTGGTCCAGTTTTCTAGTTGTTATGGTAGAAGGATAAGTCCAGACCTTGTTACTTCATCGTAGCCAGAAGTAAAAGTTAGGAGTCCAAAGTCAGATGTCTGCAGGGACCAAGCAGGTAAATTAAGTGAAAGAAGAGGCCTGGGTGTAAAGCGTTCGGGGCGGGGAGGGGCGGTGGCGGGGAAATGCAGAGAGCAGTGATGAACTGGAGCCCAGGTACAGGTTTAAAGAGACGCTGCTTCTCAGCTCTAGATGAGGCTGCCTTGTGGGACTACCAGCTCAGTGTCGCCAGATCATCTGGTTTTCCAAGAAAGCCAGAAATACAGGTTTTTTAGTTAAATCATGTTTTTTTCCCCCCAGTGGCTGTCAAGTTGATTCCGACTCATGGCGACCCCTCATATACAGGGTAGAACTGAACTAAATCTTGGTATTTTTAATTACTGGTAACCAATTTAAAAAGAAGGTGCCCTGGTGGTGCAATGGTTAAGTGCTTGGCTGCTAACCGACAGTGGTTCGAACCCACCCAGCGGCTCTGTGGGAGAAAAGACCTGGTGATCTGCTTCCCTAAATATTTATTACAGCCTGGGAAACTGTGGGATAGTTCTACTCTGTCCTGTAGATGTTTCACGTGGACGTGTGAGTCTCTGGCACGGCCTGTAGATGTTTCACGTGGACGTGTGAGTCTTTGGCACGGCCTGTGGATGTTTCACGTGGACGTGTCCTTGGCACGGCCTGTAGATGTTTCACGTGGACGTGTCTTTGGCACGGCCTGTAGATGTTTC